AGGAAAGTGCCCCTGGGTCGCTGTCTCAAAATCGTCCCCTGGCTCCTGTCTATTTAATCTACTGAGCAACCGGCCGCGCCGCAACGCCGGAAGGCACCCTTTTCATCGTCGTGCAAGGCCTCTGCTCCGGATCCTGCGTCAAGTCGCAAAAGTACCCACATTTCGTCCAAGGGGTGTGCTGTGATTCGATTTTACAGTCGCTCCATTAGTCCAGGGCATGCCCCATTGGTCCAAACGTGTGAGGCGTTCTTATTTACTTTAATAATCACCCCGTCAGTCCAGCGTACGCCTCATTAGTCCAAGAGGGGAAGCGTTCTGATTTGATTTATAAACCGTGTAATCACGCTATTCATCCAGGGCACGGCCCGGTAGTCCGAGGGTGTGAGGTGTTCAGATTTGAGTTCATAGTCGCCCCATTAGTCCAGGGTACGCCCCATTAGTCCCAGGGGCGTGAGGCGTTTTAGTTTGTTTGTATAGCCCCATTAGTCCGGGGTATGCCCCATTAGTCCAAGGGTACGGGTGTTCTGATTTGATTTTAGGGTCGCCTCATTAGTCCAGGGTACGCCCCAGTAATCCAGAGTAATGTGCAATCTTGTTGCCAGTGTACTTCGCTCTGGCACGCTGCCTGCGCCTGCCATGCTTGCGGCGCACCTTGACAACTGGCTTCTTGTTTGCTGCACGCCAGGCCTGAGCTTCCTTCAGCTTGCTCTTCTAACCTTGGAATATTTGAGCAGCGTGCGTCCCGCAGGTTTCCTGGCGGTGTGCAGTTTTGCTGCAAATGCGGCCACGGTAAGGCTGCTGCTTGTTTTTGCAATGCCCCGTAACCAGACCGCGCGCACCGTCTGTAGCCCAGAATGGCTCCCAGGCTCCCAAATAAAAAATTCTAACAACAAGTAGCTTGCCGCTCCCCAGCTCAGGCACGCCCGTCTCGACAAATGCTGGTGGCCGCAATATTTTTGAGTATGCGAGTACACAAAAATTGTAATTACCATGACGACGATGACGACGATGACGACCACGACGAATACTACTACTACTACTACTACTACTAGTACTAGTACTAGTACTAGTACTACTGGGAGGTACATACCTCGGTTTGGCCACGGGCCGGCACAACGATTTTGGCGATAAATTCAGCGTTTCAAGAAAATTCACGGTTCTGGAACCCAGAGAAATTAACCTTCGACTGCTCAAAAATCCGGACTTTTGGAGAGGCTCTAGGCGCATTGGGGATTGTAAAAGGGCCCCTGCAGCTCCATGCTTTCATTTCCTTTCATTTCGGATTTTGTCGTGTACTCGCGACATGCACAAAACACTGGCCAGCGTGGGATGATGCACAACTCATCAATTTTTTGTGTAACACACCGAAACACCAACACCGCTTACATCGACTTACCACCGATGAAATTGCACAATTAAATCGCAGAGGATATCACATCCTTCAAAGCATTCAATCGGGGTGCAAGCAATAAGTTTGAAGTGTCGCGGGCAGACATCTCCAGCGCAAGCGGCCGCGATACCAACGTCCAAGCACAGCAAGCAACCCGACAAGTTTTTTTGACAAGACGCCAACACGGGAAACTTGACACTCAAAATCGTGACATGCTCAAAAACATCAGCCAGTGTGGGACAAAGTGCGCACCTGGCAGGACCCTGGTAAAAAATGGAGGCGCAAAACTGCGGCTTGAATGCAGCCCCCCCCCCCCCAGGCCCGACTGCAGTAATGGCCCGCCACGTATCCGGGAATGCTGAGGAGGAGCTCGTAACTCTTGATATACTGAGTTTTCCTGCTACTATCACTACTACTACTACTACTACTACAGCAACTACTACTGTTATTATTAGTAAAAGTACTACTGCTAGCCCCCTCCTACCCCTTCTCCCCCCGCTGCTGTTAAGTTCGACGCTGTTCACACTGGCATGGGCGATGGAGAGCAGGATCCAGCAACAGCACCTCAGACAAGGTGCGTTTGAGAACTACGGACTTAGGGAAATCTTCGCTGCCCAACACTGAGACAAGGGATTCCTGTATCAAGACTTTGGGGTTGATGCTGTGCATGAATCTAGCCCTCAAGACGACGGCTTGTTGCTGAGAGAACTGCTGCCCACACCAGAACGTTTGACAGGCCGGACCAACATGCCATATCCAGATGAAAGCAATCAATTTGTTACGTGACCTCGCGCACAAAGACCAAAGTCCAAGACTGCCCCGCAGGCATAGCATCTGAGTCCCAGCAATCTTTATGCCCAAAAGCACAAGTAGTCAATGGACCTTTTTGGAACCGTGAAATCCGAAGTCAACATACACGTGGCAGGAAAATGTCAATAGTTGAACCCTCCCCGTAAGCATGGCGCTGCATGAGCATCACACTCGCCATCTTCACCTTGCTTGCTTCGTCAACTCGCATTCATGCACACAGCAAGTTTCTGCTACTTTTCTTAAGGGAGCCCCCCCCCGTTTTTGGCAGAGTGGCCGGATACTTTTGACGTATGACAGGGAACCTCAAGCAAAACAGCAGAGGGGCCGAGTTTGTCCGGTCAATGCATCTGGAAATGTTGGTTTAGGGCGTAGGAATTCAGCGTTAAGGATAAGAGTGCAGCCTTTGCAGAGGCAAAGCCAACCGACCGGGCAAGCCAGTACTACGGGCAGCCACCCACCTCCCAAATCCCAAACTCTAAATGGTAGTTTCCCTAAATAGGGGGACCCCAATATAGACCCCAATATACAAAAGTCCTGATTTTGGGGATCCTTAGGCACCCCTAACTATGGGAAACCTCTCATGAAGTTGCAAAACCAGTTGCTGGCACCAGCTGTATGGGCTTGTTCCCTTCACGCATGAAGGTTGCGAGCTCATCATCTTTTCCTTCTAGCCGGAGATCCTAATTGACGATGTTTGTGCCACACTGGTGTGGGAAATTAGGATGAATTTGCTGATAAGTATTGTCAACTTGGTCCCTTAAATCCAAGTGTCCTGATTTGGGGTCCAGGAGCAGGATTGATGTGCTAAACCTTCTACCGTGACGGTGCATGCACAAGGTCCCGTTGCAAAGATCCAAGGGAGGAGACTCCCGTAACAATCCCTTCACAAGCCCCGGCATGCTCTGGTTTCCCCTGTGCTGGTTTCAAGGTTTAGTGATGTCCCTTTTGTCTGGCTGGCTTGGCAGTTTAATCATATATGGGTCGAGGGGCCACGGAGGTTTGTTTGTTTGTTTGGGGTGTTGCAGGTGTGGCAGGCTGTGTGGGGTTGGGGCATCTTTGAGAACGGGACCTGCGGAGCTGACAAACTTTTAGGAACTCGCGAAATCCGCAGGCCTAGTTGGTCGATCTTGTTTTTGGGAGGCATACAGTCGTGCGGAAAAAGGGCTGCCAAAATGTCTTGGGTTGAGCTGTTCGGAATATGAAGTTGAGCTTGGGATGTTCAGGGCTGGAGACATTGGAGGCTCAGATCTGTCGAGACTATTTAGGGTTGGCGGTCATAGGGCTTGGCAGGTATTGCGGCAACAAGGGCTTATCACTTTGAAGACTTCCATGCTTTGCAGAGCCGATGCGTTTCTTTTTTGAAAGTTCCTGATCCCTGAAGTTTTTGACTTGCAGCCTTTGGCCATGTGGGGTAGGGTTGCTCAGCTGTGGGCTCTGGACCTTTGAAGGGTTTTGGCTGTGTTGTTATAGACTCCGCGGCTTTCGTGGTCGTCCCTTTGTTTCTTCCGTGTGCACCTGGACTTGGTTTCTCTGGTCCTTTCAGTCGCTTTCGTTTTTCCCGTTTGGGTTCTTGAGCCACCTCTCTGTCTCTGCCCCACTCTTTTAGTTTCCCAACCTCACCACCTTTACCTCTGAAGCTCTAATCTTTTGCCCGAGCTGAAGGCTTCACGGTCTCTACGTGATGGTCTTTCCGTTCGAGTCCGCAGGCGGTCACGACGGCCATGACGTGTCTTCAGGTGTCGGAGGCCTGTCAAAGTTACAGGGATGGAGCGGGTCTCAGTCACCCTCCCGATGACTCTTCTGGCTCTGCAACCCTGGTATCATTGTGTAGTTTTGTGTGCTATCTCCATGTTGTGTCTTCTCCTCATCGTTTCCAGCCAGAGCATCTTGATTTCCGTCATGCCTGGTACGGTGTCGGGGTGCATGGCTCCTCACCGGTTCTCCCTTTCTCTCTCTCTCTCTCCCTCCTCTTCCCGTCAGGATGAATTGGGCTCCTTCTGCTCCCGCTGTTTGCTTCATCTCTTTCTTGTTCCGCTCTCTTTTCCTTTCTTTGCGGCTCCTGCGGCTAGGCCCTTGGAAGTTTGCACCCCTTTCTCCTTCGACATTCTCTTCTCCGTTCGTTCTTGCTTCGCTCCGCCCTCTTCCTCCTTTCCTCCCACTCATTTCGCAAGCTAATGGCTGGCAGAAGGCCAATGTCACATGCTTTGCCCCCGACACGAAATGCAAAATGAAAGCCTGCCATGTTGTACAATCACGTTCACATCTTCCACATGCACAGTGCGCTTTGAGGTCAGCAACTAGCTGCAAGAAGCCGTCGGCATATCGTGCCAAACACAAACATGCATACCAAAGCAAGGGTCCTCCTTTTGCATCAGAATCCTGACTGTAGGATAAGGACTCCGAAGCGCTTTTGAATCCAATACGCCCTGGATGCGTTTAAGCGCCAAGTTTTGACCGCGGCACGCGCACCAAAGCCTGCCAGCCCAACGCGGTGACCACAGAACGGTGAGGGCATCCGACTTTTGGAGGAAAGCGGCCAATCCTTATAGTAAGGTTCAGGCATCAGCCACTATGTGCAGGTATGGAAACTTAACAAGCAAGATACTGGCCCAGAAATCACTCAACCTGAAACCTGAGACGACCCGCCCTAACTACCCCACAATGTCATGCTGGAAGTGCGGGCTCAACCTTAGAATGCAAAAGAGTTCAGCCTGTAGTAACTGTAGTATACTGGGAACCTGAACGTAGGGACCCGAAGAATGTCAATGTAGGGGAGCTACCCAAATCTACATCCAGGCACCCCAATGCCACGCTGCTTCAGCTCCTCGTCATGCTGCGCAATGCACAGCTTGTCCAGGAAGACAATTCTCCTGCAAATGTCTCTGGTCCAGGCCTCACTCTTCGTATGCCTTGCTGAACATCTACACAAAGTGGCAACCTGAAGCCTGTCGATCATGTCTTCACTACTTGCTCCTCCTGATAATATGAATACCGGCTTCTGCAAAGAACGTGGACGGCCAAGCAAAACAAGAAAGCATGAACATGCCAAGCACCGTACAGCATCCTAACTACATTTTTTCGGCTTTGCACGAACTCCTGTTTTGGGCCTGCTGAAAACGCCTGCAATGGCGAGAGCCACTGATTTGGCGAACGCCCCTTTTGCGAGTCTGCGAAGATGGGGGCACCCTTCAGGACATGTGGACCCTAAAACGAGGTCCCTGGTGACTGGTCTGCACGTGTAATTTTAGGCATTTCCCGTGTCGCCGCACGTCTTTTGTAAAACTCTTTGGCAAGATTTATGCCAAAAGCAGCCCCAGGCCCCAATGCACGGGCCAAAGTAATCAGAATAACATGGTTTTAGGGCTACCTTATTACTCCGGAATAATACGTAATGCAGGAGTTGCAGCTGCATACCACGGCTAGTCATTCAGACTTCTAACGCAAAGCCATACAAGCGGAACCTGCGACCCTACACCATGCCTTGTGCAGAAAAGCGAGCGGATTCTCTGCCAGAAGCAGAAGAAAATGAAAAAAGTTGCATAGCCAAAGAAGATGGAGGACCAATGATTGATTCTGACACCTTGGCAGGCTCACGCACACTCCACTAATTAATCGCTCTAGCATACATTCGTGTCAGATTTAGATTTAAGGGCTAGTAGGACTTGTGGTTAGGTTGGGGAAGGTCATTGTAATCTGCTAATGAACTACACACCCTCAATCCACAGCCCTCAAACCGCAAACCATAAACCAAGCTAATGGTTGACTCAAAGCACGAGCCCTCGCCTAAGTCAAAGGGGGTAAAGGGCCACCGACATGAAGTCGATCATTTTTTTAGCGGCATTGGCCGCCTCCAAGCAATATTGGGGAGAGGGTTTAGGATCTCATGTGGTGAATGTGATTTCGGATTAGGGCTTGGGATTGTTGATTCAGGCTAGGGATTTAGGACGAGGTGTTGCGGTTATAAGGCCAAACACCTCCACCTGGCAGCAACGCAGGACGTAACTTGCCGCCTCGAAGAAATGGGCGTTCCAAACAACAGTGGTCCTATGAGGGCACCTATGTGTGTGGGATGGTGCACGGGCGACTCTGCATTTTGACAATTTCCAACTTGCAGCTTGGATGCTATAAATCCGAAAGATGCCAACTGCGCAACTGACGAGCAAGGTTGCCATCACGGCCGCACGGAGGTTGAAAATCCACATTATGGTAACCACCTCAGAGGTCTGTGTGCAAAACAGCGAAGGTCTCCAGAAGAGAACAAGTGGCTGCAAACGTCTAAGTCTTCGTTCTTTTGGACTTGCGGTTGGGAAGGTTGCAGGTTAGGATACTGGTAAGCAAATGTAGGTTGTTCAGAGCTCTCACCATTTTTTTGCATTCTGGGATAAGGAGGAAGTGGATTGCTTCACCAGGGAGATGGCAGACTACCCATGCGGAAGCTTCCATGCGTTAGGCTTTGTATGGCTCTCAAGACTCTTAGTTTCAAGATGGCTTGCTAGACTGATGACGCGCGTTCGACGGCTTTCATGAACTGCAACTGCGGAAGCCCAAATGGTGTATCATCAGGTAGGAACAGCTGTAATAGCCTCGCCAAACAGCATATGCATGTACCTAGATACTCCAGTAGCTATCTTGTTCGGAACCCTTTCTGCCGAGGTCATAACGGGTTCATAGGAAAGTTACCAAGCAATAGCTTCCATGCGGGCTTGAGACAAGAGCTTTCTACAAAAGAACCCGAATTCAAGATTCATGAGTAGTACCAGTGAGGTGCCAGTTACTCTTGCTACAACCTTTGGGAAACAGCCTGAACCCCAATCCTGCACAAACCCTGCAAGCTTATGACTCCAGCTCTAAGCAGCTGTCCATGCGAGCGTGCCTTCAGGAATCTGTTTGTGGCCCAATCATGGCTAAGGAAGTTGTGTATCCTCAGTGATTTTTCTCAACACGTTCAGTCGATGTTTCTACTCTAGGCCTTGTGGTATTCAAGAGTTTTGGTGCGGAGGCTCTTTGTCTTGAGTGCCGATCTGGCAATTGTTCAATCCTTGCTGTCCAACAAACATCAACCCCATCAACCAAAACTGCCAGGGCATGCACCTTCCTGTCAAACTGGCTGGTAGGAGCGTCGCAGAAGGTTAATGTAAGGGCCTGAATCATCAGGATCGGAATTCAGGCATATCATACTACTGAGAACTGCAAGTACGGCGGCAGTCTTCCTCAGGATAAAATCTACTATGTTAGTTTCCATGTTCTTTTCCATTTTCCCTATATAACCGTAATCTACTATAGTAGTTTGCATCTTCATTTGGGTTTACTTGGTCATGTTACTTGAGCGACACCAGACAGGCCTAAGGGCTCCTCGGGCTATCCTGTATCATATATAGTTTTTCCCCGAAAGGAAGCCATTTTGCGCTCATTGAGTGCCCCATACAGTTTCGTGGACCCCTCTGGTCTAGCGCATGCTGCGCCGGAGACAAATTTTTGATGATCTGCTTGTATGAAGGTATGAAAGGTATGACAGCAGTTGTCTTGAGGGCTACTTGTACGCTTCACCGATTTTGCCCAGTCTTCTGGCAAGGTCTTCCAGGTCGGCTTAGTGTTTAGCGCACTTTGCCATCTGCTCCATAGCAGCCATATTCGAACTTTAACCGGATACCGTCCAAAGAACGGTAGGCTACAGTACTCTGTTGGAGGTCTTCATTGGACACTGAAGGATGAGCCAGTGCTGAACCTGTACAGTGTATAGCTTCGCACATGTAGCCATCATCAGTCTCTTGTCCACATCTTCAAGCCCTGCCTTACAGCAACTCACATGTCCGGAGGGCTTAAATTTCGAAAGTTTATGCTATTGAGCCAGTTTGATCGCCTCTCCATCTGTCTTGGCTACATGTATTGCCACTCTCCTACAGCTGGTCACAAGAACCAGCACTAATATTCAAGAAGTTTCCAGATAACTTACACCTGTACCTCAAAACCGAAACCCGAATTCACCCATGCTCTCAGGCCAAGCCTCTTCTCAGTCTTTTGGCTGAGATGATAATTTTTGGGATCGATGTTGAACCTGATTTGCCCCTACAATTTTCCTCAGGTTCAGGGTTTAAAGGAGGGCTTGAGGAAGTTTAGCAGTTCAGTCTTCGGCCTTCTGCTCAAAACCTGCCCAACCCAAAACACAAAGAAGAATGAACTTCTCGAAGGTGCATTCCATCGTCGGGCTTTTTGAAGTGGTGACCCCAACCCGCCAAGCAAACATCGAGCGGAACACCTCGCAGCAGCCTCACATCCAGATTAGTGGAGCTGTGGGCTTTTGTGGGTTGGAGTTTAGAGTCGTGAGACTTGGAGCCTCGCAATTCGAACACGGGTTATGTTCTTGGCCGTCGTGTTCGTCAAACACATAATAAAGCAGCACCACCACATTGTTTGGACAGCAAACTCTCACTCATCAAAAGAGTGACCTCCAAGAAACTGAAAGCTCGTTCGAAAGGTTCTGGCAATGTTCAATCCACACGTCATGATAGCATCCTGCCTCTAGCCTTATAAGAATCTCTGCGTGCTACGCCTTGTCCATCACATTTGAGTTTCCTACCCCCAATTCCTAAATAATGGTTTGCATTTTTTATTGTTTTGGTTTTGCACTTTTTGTTGCCTTTCATTTTTCATCGTTTTGGTTTCGCATTTTTTGTTGTCTTTCATCTTTTATCGTTTTGCTTTTTCATGTTGTTTTTGCATTCAGTTTTGCTTTGCATTTTTTTTTGTCGTTTTGCCTTTGCATTTTGTTTGCATTCATATTTTGCTTTGCGTTTTTTTATCGTTCCTATTGTGCGTTGTTTTTTGCTTTGCATTTTCTTTGCATTTACTTTTTTGGCTCCTTCAGGATGGCCTTATATGCATCAGGTGTGGGTTATGTTGTCAGTGTTCCTTCTTGCTCTTAGGTCATGCAGCACCAGCGTGACACAGTAGGCAGCAGCTAACGGACACAACAGCTGCAATTCCATCAGTAACGGACATTCGTTTCCTGCTCGCACCGTTCTCTCTCCAGCCAGGGCCTAGGGCCAGATAGGCCCCTGCCTCGGTCTTGTTAGGGGGGCCGAAGCCCAGGGTCCAGTGTAGGCCCTGGGCCTACTACCCAAGCCTGCTGGGCCGGGAGCTTGGGATCTGGGGCCAAGCCCCAAATGATGAAAAATCGTTAAAAAGATAAAAAGTCGCGAGTAACATAACACAAAATGCAAAAATGCAAAAACATGCAAAGCCGCGAGCAAACAATGACAAATGCAAAACATACCCAAAATGCAGCACAAATGCGAACAAAAATGCAAAACATGCAAATGCTCCAGGCGGGTGCTAATTTTTCATCTCCGCAACAAAGGTCCGCTCCGGGCCCCGGCCCCCGGCCCCCCGGACCCTGCCCCTTCGGCTTATGAAAGCACAAGCACATCACAACCGCAACGGCAGCAGCACTCAAAAATAAGGACAAGACGTAATCAAATCCTTGGCGAAGAAGCCCTTGCAGAGAATGACGCTGGAAGCAGGCCACGTTCTGTCTCTCTCTCTATCTGTGTCTGTCTGTCTGTCTGTCTGTCTGTCTGTGTCTGTCTCTCTACCCAAGAAGGCAACACCAATAGCCGACGAGTAATACAGCAAAGACCACACCACATCATTCAATAAAAGAAGAAATGCTGCAAAACCGGAACGACGAAACAGGCGAAGGAAATACAACTGCCAACAAATGCATGAGCACAACGATAAACAATGCAAAGCAAAAATGAACGGCAACAACAAACATGCAAAACCAAAACGATAAAACATGAAAGGCAACAAAACATGCAACACCAAAACGATTAAAAATGAAAGGCAACAAAAATTGCAAAACCAAAAGGATAAAACAATGATAATAAAATGATACAAGAAATGCTCAAGAGCCTTCCAGTGCGTGGCCCAGAGATTCTTATAACCCTAGCCCGTTAGGGTGGCAACAGTTCAGGGTTCTGGGCTCATGTGCCCAGAAAGCATGGCAACTAAACCCCCCAGCCTGTAAGCTTCCAGATTCAACATAATCTGACGTTCAGTTGACTGTAGGTTTGAAGCTTTCAGGTGTCGTGTCCCATCTTGCCTCCAGTGAGCCAACTCTCCAGGCTGGCACAGACCGCAACTGCAGCCTGTACTCCACTCCCCCTCATATTAAACCACCCCCACCCCTCCCCCACCAAAAAAAGATATTACCAATAAGATTAGGATATACTTATATATATATATATAGAGGGAGTACTTACTGTTAGGGGGGTGGGGGGATTTCATATTGGGCGAGGGGAGTGGGCCTTGGACCGACGTTTTCGGGTGTTTTCCTAGCGGACAGGCATCTGGCGGCGCGACTCGGACTTGCGCCTTTCAGAGAGAGAGAGAGAGAGAGAGAGAGGGGATATACGGGGATATATTGGGATAATGGAAAAGAAAATGGAAGCTACTAACATGGGGATAACGGAAAAGAAAATGGAAACGACTATTTAGTATACTGGGGCTATATTGGAGACAGAGAGAGAGAGAGAGAGAGACCGCGTCGAGTCATCTCGCGCCCAAGACCGATTTGCGAACGTAAGCGCACATCTTTTCCACGTGTTTCGAGTTGGAGACACCAGCATCAGCAGAACAAGTGCCGGCGGTACCAATAGGGCTGACACGCTCAACTTCACCTGGAGCAGCTCGTATCAGCAGCTTCCAGATCATTCCAAGAGTGCTGGACTTGCGGCAAAAAGTGACCAGGCGATCTACAGGCTTGCCCATTAACAAGAACAGCACGAAATAGAAGAATTGCGGCTATCACATCTGCACATGCTCCAACGCTGCAACAGAATTCTATTCACAGCCAGGCCGCTCTGAATCTATATCGCTTTGCAATGAAGTCCCACCTGGTTGCTCTAGGCACATGAAATGCAAATTGCACCTTAAACTTAAATGGAACCATTGGTAAGGGAACGACTCTAGCAACCAAAAAGAAGAAAGCAGGAGTGTCTCAAAAACAGTGGCCCTGTAAACGGCCCTGATACTCTGTATGGATCATCATGTTTTGGAGCATGGGGGACCTACAATTCGGAGAATAGTAACCACCTCCTGCTCATGGTAAGATCCTCCACTTGACCCCCGCCAACGCCAAGATGTTGCGGACGTGAAGTACTATAATCTAATATTCGGTGTTTGGAGCCTGTCATTTGTAAATGGGTGTATTCCT